ACTCCAACCATGGGGAGGCTCTCATGATGAAGACACCGGCTGCAAGGCCCTATAAAAGAGGGAACTGCACTCTCAAATGGGATCCATCTCTCAATCTCTGGTTACCCTTTCAGTTGCTAAAAACACTCAGAAAAACTCCAGGTAGAAGGCAAGCAAGAAGAAGAAGCAGCAAAAACTCAGTGAGGAAGCCAAGTTGAAGCGTAGCAACCCAGTTTCTTCTTCAGTTCCACGAGTGAACCCTTTCACTCCTAGGAGTGACTCAGAAACTGCACAAGTTTTCTTCTCATCGCTTGACTGTTAGCTTGAACTTTGTTTACTATGCATACTTCTATGATGTCTTTTGATAGTAGATGTAGCATTAATCTGTATGAGTAGCAAAACAGTTCCCAGGGGTTATTCTCCTCAACTGATGTTGTAGTTGTCAAAGCACTGGTTTTGTTCCTTGTTTTATGGTTGAAAGTTTTTTCTACATTCATTTACTTGATCACTAAATTGAATGCATGCTAGAACTAAGGGAGATCTGGAAGGATAAACTTGGTTTGGATTGTTTCAACTTTAACTTATGACATAGAGGTAACAGTCTATGGTTTTAACTAAGATAGGAATATACTTAGTTAACATAAGCATTCTTGAAGGCCTAGAACTTAATGACTTTGTAGCTAAATCAATCATTGGAAAATAGGTTGTTAAGGTTGCAAAGATGACTCTAGGAAAAATGGGAACTGACTTAGAGTTATAAGTGAGCTGAATGAACAAGAACTCAACCATTACAGTGCTAATAAAACAACTACAACAGTAGGAAGAGGAGAAGAACACCCCTGGCCTCCATTCCCCTGAGTGACTGTTTTCATTCTCCTGAGTGACACCTTGTTTGACTGGCAGTTTTTTTTTACAACAAATTTGGTAATTAGCTGTCCTCGTGGGATTGACCTAGCTTCCATTATCTACAAGAATCATAATCTAAGCTAGTAATATTTTTTTGGCGAACTCGGCAAGCACCAGAGGGTAGTGGAGGAAAAATAATCAATAAAGAAAGTAGTACTCTTGAATAATTTGTTTTAGGGGCATAATAGTTCAATCATACAAACATGACTTTAACTATTAAAAAAAATTCTAATTACATTTATTTAAATATTGTGAAAGTGTATCCTATTTATTTTTTATGTGTATATGACTAAAATAAAAATATGAATGTGGTTAAAATAATTACATATATGTATATTTCATTAAATAAATATTCTTGAAGATATAAGAGTTTTTACATTATTAAATTTAAATTTTCACTCTCATTAAATACAAGATATTTGATTAAACTATTGTAATTAAATTATTTAGACATGTTTAAGTATGAGTTTTGCAATAAAAAAAATAATAATAATAAGACAATTTCTAGTCTCAGTTCACGTGAAGTGGATTTTTTTTTAAAAAAAATAGAAAAAGTAAAAACCCCTTTTTAGTAATTTATTTTTTGAAAAAAAGTAGAAACATTAACCCTTAATTATTTTTTAGCTAACAGTACTATATATATATATATATATATTAATCATGTAAGTTTTTAGATTTCCTATATTGATATTTAAACATTATCTTTTGTATTACTTAGAAAATAAAATTTAATTTATGTATTGAAACAGGAAATGAAACAAAAACTTTACTAAATGCTAAGTCATGTTTGTTTAGATGAATTATTATGCTCTTAATACAAATTATTCAAAAGTACTACCCTCTTTATTAATTAGTTGTTCTCTATTGCCCCTCATCCAAATTTTCCCTATCTTACTTTGTGATTTCTTTTATAACAAGTTATTACCTCGAAAGTACTCTACTTTTGCAATTCTTTTTGGATAAGTGCATAAATCTTATTTTATTTTCGTACCATGGCCAACAACCTTGCAAAACTTGAGTTTATAACTTTTGATGTTTTCGGAGAGAACGATTTGTCATGATTGCTTGACGCCAAAATGCTAATGGACTTCGAGACCGTGGCGGAACTAGACTTGCGGTGTTGGGGGATGGGGGACAGGGGCTGGACTTTATTTTATAGAGGGGTCAAAGTACATCATATATAAAATGCAAAGGGGTGATTAATAAAATTACTTTAACTATAAAGGGGTCTCCTAGAAATCTGAGAAAGTAAATATACTGTATAGTTATTTAATAAGTTTTAATCTCCCGCATCATCTTCTTCCTCGTCATATTGCCTCTGCAAATTTTCTCGCTGGAAAATTTATGCTTTCCAGTTTCCATCCTCAACCAGCCTCCTTCAATTTCAAACCTTTGAGGCCCCTCCTTCAATCACAAATTTTGAAAGCCCCTTCATTGGTCTTTTTCTTCAGAATTGGGGCCTGAAAGGAGCTAGCACGGAACCAGAAACAATTGTGACTACGGGAGCTATATGGATAACGTCCGCGGCTCGGGGGGTCAGTGGACCCCCGGGGCACTTAACTAGTTCCGCCGCTGCTTGGAGATACCATCAAAGAAGGTAACAAAGCCACAAGCCAATCGAAGGCCAAGAATAGATTTTTCATATGTCGCCACCTTCACAAACAGTTGAAAACTGAATATTTCACTCTTCAAGACTCATTTGTCTTATGGATGATTTTGAATGAAAGAAATAATCACCTACACACTGCAATACTGCTTAGAGATTGTCATGATTGGTTGCCCTTATATTTCCACGATTTTAAAATTATTAGTGAGTATAATTCAATAGCTTTCAAAATCACATCAATTTTAAGATTATGTGGTGATAATATGGATGATGCACTAATGCTAGAGAAAACATAGCCCACTTTTTACCTATAAATATGCTTCTAATGCAGTAATATCGTGAAATGGGATGCACAATATATTTTGAGTTAATTCAGGTTCTGCTTCTTGCTGGAAAAAAATAAAATAAATTGTTGCTGAAAAACTATTTCCAAAAACAAATGTGGCACCTATAAATCTAAATAATGGACAAAACCGAAGGCATGGTGGTCGTGATCGTGATCGAGTATATGATAAAAGTCATTTTCATAGTCGTGTTGGTCAAAGAAAAAATACTACTTTTCACAAGAAGTTGAGAAGTGGCGGTGAGAAAGATGGAAATGGAAGAAAGGCGAGAGCAAATGCTATCATTGGGACACGAAAAATCATTGATCATGTAACCTATCATACACCAAAACATCATGCCAATTTCTGTTAAGAAACAATGAAGAAAGAAGAAAAGAATATTACTGATAGTCAATTTGACCATAGTCCCGTTGACAATTATTTTACTGATTTCACCTCTTTAAATATTACTAATTTCTTCATCATTCACCCTGAAGGTGATGCTAGTCACTTAGTGATGAAAGTCCAGAAGTAGGTTTATATTCCCAATTTATGTATAATGACTTCTTTGACTCTACACGATCTTCAGTCTAATCAGGCCTTTGGGCTGCCTAAGTAACTCAGTCTATTGATGTGTAACCAAGTCCAAAATATTTTACGATTTTCTTTACCATTGTTTTTCAAACATATGTTAAATTTATTTTTTAAAAAGAAACCGACGCAAATCAAATATTTCTTTTGACTCACATAATATGATAATTTATAATTCACAAGATATTGAACTTTCAAAATAAGCATCCTATTGAAAGAGAAAATATTTATAGAGAAATGGGTACAAGTTTGCTGTATTTATCTAGAAATAAATCTTATGGCTGCTCGGCAAAATTACCGTCAAACTATGTGTTGGGATTTTAGAAACAGTTACGGTCTAATCGGCAGAGTTGAAATGAAGTTAAGTTGTTCGTACAATTGATGATGTGTTGATATTCCAAAACCATGAGGTCCATGACTTAATCATCTTCATATGTCACGTTCAAATGAAGGGTTAATTCACAATGAAACCATATTGTTTAGAAAACCCACCAAAACCCCATTACGATGCAAAAAGATGTGAACAGATGCCATGACCCTTAAGCAAACTAGAGATCTTGTACAGGGTCCCTATTATCTAAATCTGATAGCAATATGTTGTAAGCTGTAATGATATTTTTCAGTCAATTTCATTCCAAATGCTTCGATAAGTCAAAATGATGTTGTCTGCTCTGTTTGACAGCAATTAATCTAATGTTTAACTGCCTTTTCAAGAAGATGAGAAGTTAAAGTTTTTCCGTCAAAGTGTGAAAATTGAGCAAGCTAAAGTGTTTTTTTTTTTTTTTTAATGCAGGAACAAAATTATTGTTATGCAGGACCAAAATTATCTTTTGGCCAACATACAGTATAACATCGGTAAATTAATAATCCATAAGTTAATAAGTTCTAACAATTAATAATTTTCTCCGATCCTAATTTGGGACGAGTACAAAAAGTAAAGAAAATCAATAAAATAATAAAATAATAATATTTTAGAATATCATCTATATACTTAGGTCCCAATAATGTCATAAATTAATAAATACCCTATAAGCAAAGAAATAATAATAATAACTAAAAGTACTTAGTATGAACTATTGATACTTGTCTTTTAGTCTCTAGAAATGATATCAACTATTTATGGATTTTTTTTTTTTATTTGGAAGTGTTCTAATACTTGATTGATTTGATGTGAAGACAATTACAAATTAAGTAATTTAGTGACGGCTCTTGTTTACTGATAGAAATTCTTTAAATATAATAAATTATTAATTTACTGATTATTTAATAATTCTCTAAATTAATAAATTTTGGTGGTCCCAACACTATTAATATCAAGAAGTTCTACTGTATATAAAGGACCAAAATGGGCATTTAGTATCAAATATAGTACTTCCCCGATACTTGTTATAAGATATTTTGATTGGTCCTAAATTTCACCTAATCTGTTTTTTCAATTGGAAAAGAAACCTTAGAACTACAATTTCACAATAATTGTGTTTTCAAAATAATATGAAAAAATATTTATTAGCCTTTTTCCAACTAGAAAACATATTATTTGAAAGTTAAAATTTAAAATGCCACATAATAAGGATCAGAGGGATTACCAATTATCAATCTCTCATTAATTTAAACTCTTTAAGCCCAGACAACAAAACGAGTCAACTTTAACAATCAATTGGATTTTACGCAGGTGTCAAATGAGACCGGCTCACAAACTTAGAAAGTTTCAAATTTTGAACTTCGAACATAACGTAATATGCATATTAGATAGTACTGAGACATCTAATTACAACATTTGATGTTTATAAAGACACAAATCAGATAGTAGCATGTAGATAAAATGTAAGTATTCAATAGGTTAATTTCTTAATAAAAATCTACTTAGACACTAACAGTCAAGTGTCACCGTTCGTTCGGTTTTTTATTTTTGTATCTTCATTTTACGTGATTCTTAAAAGATGGCTTGATTCCAATAATCCCACACCCAACGGCAGCTCCTGAATTCCCAGTCATTTTGCTCTCTTTATTTCCACCTCTTCCAAGATCATCTTCATCAGCATGAACAACAATCGCCATACCAAGAACAGAGTTATCTCCCTTAAGTTGGATAGTTTTCGCGTCGATTGAAACCCTTGCGATTCCATCTGGACTGGCGACAATGTTCCCCAAATGACCAGCGTGATGATTTTCATCACAAGGCGCTCCGTGATCCTTGTTAAGCGGATTAAAATGAGCTTTAACGGATTCACAACTTGGGGTGGAGTAAATGCTTAAGCCATGAGTACCGGGAGAAAGCCCTAAAAGTCTTCCATTTATTTGAGTCTTTTCTCCCATGGAGTTCTTGCGAAAGTGAAGGGAGCCTTTTATGCCGATTTTGCTGCCACCGGCGGTAGACATGATCATTGCTTGTGCTTCAATCGTGCTCGTCTCCGTTCCAGCAGCCTCTTTTCTTCCTATCACAACTGTTTTAATTTTTTTTTTTAAATTTTATTTTTTTCAGGACGAAGAAAAGAAAAAGAAAAAAATGGTAAAATTAGCAAAAGAAATTATAAAAAATTATTACAAATCCCTCTGTTAAAAAAAATAGCCACATTAAGTTTAAAAATTTGTATTATTTTTTTGAACATAGGGAGTAAAATATAGTTAAATATTTATGACATTAACAAAAAGTTCAGATTAAATCATTTGAGCCCTACTTATTTTACGGCCAAATATGGGCGAGATTTGATCCTCTGTTGCTTTCCCATCGCATGCTGTAATGCACTTGATAGCGGTGGTTCCACAGCGAACGTAGCATATGACGTCTGACACCTTACATTTCAATACGCACGATATGACTGTCGATGCACAATTAAATAAGCAAGAAGGCCCCGGTGGTTTTGGGGGCGGCGACGGCCCCGGAGATGGCCCAGGTGATGGTGGTGACAGTGTTGGTGGTGCCGGCGTTGGTGATGGCGGCGACGGGCCAGGCGGGCCTGGTGGTGAAGGCCCCGGTGGTCCTGGCGGTGGCGGCCCAGGGACTTGCGCTTTTGCATTTAGCATTGCATTGGATAGTAGCAAAACAAAAAAACCAACACTAGCAAAGAAGCTTGCCGAAATAGTAGTTTTTCTAAACAAGGCCATTTTGAGCAAGAAAGTGCGAATTGGTACGTTTTGAAGAAATTAGTTAGGACATCTGTTGAAAGTTGTTTTAGTTTTTCTTGATTGATTTTTTGCTTATATCATGTATATTTTGCTGAAAGGCTTTGCGTCTGATTTTTTCTAGTTTGTTGCGTGCGTTTTGAAGTTCTGTTTCGAAATTGCATGCAATTTTGATTTTGCAAAAACAAAGCATAACGGTCTCGAAGAGTTTTTGGACTTAAACAAATCCTGATTAAATAGAAAAATAAAAAATATCTTCATGGAAGAGACGCGTTTGGTAATAGGCTTTTGTTAACAGTCTAAACGAAAACAAGTATTTCGTAAATGTGGATTTTTTAATAGGTGGGTTCTATTGGATGGGTTTACAAAAAATAAAAATGTATTGTTAACCTAGCTATTCTAGAAGGTAGACTTAATCATACTAGTCTTTTTTAAAAATAAAAAATAAAAAATTGGAAATTGGTCATACTAGTCACGTGATGAATGATAAACCAATGTATATGCTTAATCTTTCTTTACGTACATGTAACTTAGCCATTCTCCCTAGACTCAACTTAATTGTCTCAAAAAATCAGTTGATCTCACTATATGCAATTACAAACTCTTTTGATCTTTTAACTAATCTAAAACACAGAGTAGTGTGTATTCTTCTTCTTTTTTTTTTAAGGAAAAGAAAAGAAATTTTTTTATTTTCTCAAAGTCAGCTCGGCACTGAATGATGATCAAGTTAATGATGGGAATGAACCATGAGGAGCAAAAATTTTAGAATGTCGGGTCACCCAGTAACTGTTAAAATAAGTAGATTTCACACGAGTTTTTATATGTAGGTTGATCCACGCATATAGATATTTCTGAAGTTTTCAGGCTATTTGATCAAAACAAAGTTACAGATTAAATGAATGGAAATTGACGAAATGGATTCAAACTAGTTAGATTGATTGCAACTGATAATCGCGTAAAAGATTTGTACTCCAATGAATGGGCCATTTATAGAATTCAACTTCTCAAAAAAAATGTTGGCAGTAGTAAATCAAGGAATGGACCCCGAATTGCGTCACGAATCTGGTCCAAAAACAAATATCAATGAAATGGAAGCAGCAGAGCAGCCAGCCATCCGACCTCTTTATCAGAGTAGATGGGGATTTCAAAGAAACAGAGAAAATGATATCTGCGGCTTGGTAACTGGTAAGTGGTAAGTCATCAGCAAATGCGGATAACGTTTTGTGTCAGGTAGCGTGGATGTTTCAGGTAACATTTTGACATATCACATGAGCTTCGAATGTGCATAGATTAGCTACGTCTCAGTCTCTGCATAATATCATTGGAATACCTTAATAACATCTTTTGACTAGTACCTCAACTCAACAAGCAATACCATCACATAGGTGTCAGGGGAAAATAATCCCTATAACGAACTGCTCCAAATTCTTGTATTCGATAATTCGAAGAAGAATGCAGATGCCAAAAATGATCGAGTTATTGCATACCCTGGTCGGATCATAAGGAATCAAGAAGAAAGATGCGTGACTACATTGTCTACATTTTCACTTTTCAGCAAATGTTGGTCACAGCACAACTATAAACACTGAACTTGGGGGGGGAGTGTTTCAAGTGACTACACAAAGATACATAGACTATGAAATTTTAGCTCGAAATCGACTAGCTCTTTCTTGAGGCAATTGAATAATTAAGAGACGTAAAAACCAAGAGGTCATACAGTAGCGTCTTGAGGCAAATCAAGAACATGTTTGAAACAAAAAATGAACTGTGAAACTAATCCATACACTCTAAGCTGAGTTCAAACTAAAATAATCCCAGCTACTATGTTTTCCAAGTTTTCATCAATAGTGGTTAAATAGAAGTTAGATCATGTTAAGGATGAACCTAGATATGCATGTAGGATAATTAAAAGTAATTTTACCAATGAACATGCAAAGAGTTTAGTAAACGCTTACTCTTAATTCACATACAAATTGCATCATTGCTTTTTATTTTTTGAAAAGGAAATTGCATCATTCTTAAATTTTATCAGCCTTCAATATTCTATACTAACGTTGTCAAAGCTGCATCCAGTGATCTGATTGAATGATCTCCTTCCTGAGCTCCCAGGATTTGTTGACACTCTTGATTGAGTGGTTGACACCTGAAAACAATCTCAATGAACGTGATAGGGAGTACTCATCTTGCTTATTAGGAAGCTCCGGAATAACTCTTTCCACCAAAATCATGGGAGTTCTGTTTCACGATTCCTGAGCTCCTTAAACAAGTTGTATTACAAAATCCACATCAAGCAATTACACTGAAAATGAACAAAATTCAACCACATTCCTTTTAAAGAATCGAAGTACTACATCCCCTGGATTTTAAAGAAAGATAGGAAGAGCAACTAAGAATCTGTAAGTTCTCTCTGTTTACTACTTATTCAATTTTCCTTCTTATATTTTCTTTCAATTAAGGAGGATAAGCTTTTATTGACACAGTATCGGATGATCCTATAGCTGATGAATCAATATGGAAATTTTGCACTCCTTAAATCAGCTAGCCAGCGAACATCCTATGGCCAAATCTGTATCTACGATGATCATATGGGGATGCAACAAGGTAGATGTCTTCGAGTACAGCTATTGTCATTTGGGGTTCATGTTCTCCCAGAATTCATCTCGTGGCTGATGAACTGAAAGTTACCTAACTTGGTGGTTATCAGAAAAAGCTCTATGGAATAAAAAACATGCTACTTCTTCCTCTGGACTGTTAACATAAACTTAAGAAGGAAAGGGAACAATCCAAACCAGAGATAACTAAGAATGATGAACAGTGTAAGTTCTAAGTATGTAAATTACAATACTATACGGGAACTCACGAACATAAACCTTTTCAAACACTCAAGAATTAGAAGGCAAACATTGAAGATCAGTAAAGCGAAAGCAGTGATTGAATTTTTAGGGTTTTTGCTGCGGAAGCCTTGTATTAATTGGGGATAATCAATGTATCTGTACAACTGTATATTACTGTATTTATACACAAAATCTATCTGCTATACTAACCGACCTATTGTTCTGTTATTTACATCTGTGCCGTTATATGTACAGTAATGACTAAACTGACCCTAATATTCACAAGTCTATTTTCTGTACAAACTGGCATTAATCAGGCTCTAATTCCTTGATGTTTGGCTCATCATCAAACTCTATGTTCCCCCCACAAGCTGGACCGGGAAAGAGGTCTTTTAGGCCGAGCTTCGACAGCAAACAAACCATCTGAGGATGAGCCAATGACTTAGTGAGGAGGTCAGCTATTTGATCATTGGTACTAATGTGCAAAGGAACAAGAAAGCCACGCTTGAACTGATCTCATACAAAGTGGAAATTGGCCTCCAAGTGCTTAGTACGTTCATGGAACACGGGATTCTCCGTGATATGAATAGCCGATTGGTTATCAGACCAAAGAGGAATAGGAAGACCAAAGGTATATGAAGATCAGTAAGAAGATAAGAGAGTCACATCAATTCTCTTGCTGTGTAGCTCATACTTCTATTCCTAGCCTCGGAGGAAGAACAGGAGACTGTTGGTTGTTGTTTAGCTTTCCAGGAGATAAGTGAAGGCCCCAAGAAGATACAAAAAGTAGTCACAGATTTTTTGTTTAAAGGTTCTTTTGCATAATCAGCATCACTGAATGCTGATAACTTGAAATCACTCCCACTGAAATAGAAAATCCCTTGTGATACTGTCCCCTTTAAGTACTTTAAAACATGAATCAATTCATCCCAGTGATCAGAACATGGATTCTGAACAAATCTGCTCAACTGCTGTACTGTAAAGGGTATATCAGGCCTTGTAAAACCCAAGTATAAGAGTTGACCAACAAGCTTCCTATACTGTGATGCATATTCCAATGCTAGTCCTGGTTTATTAGAAAACTGATGCCCTTTTGGCAAGGATGTAGTTGTAGGCTTGCATCCAAGTAATCCTGTGGCTTTAAGAATATCAAGAACATACTTCCTTTGACTCAAATACATACCATCAATAGATCTGGCTATCTCAATTCCTAGGAAATATTTTGCTAATCCCAAATCCTTTATGATAAACTGATCATGCAAGAAAGCTTTAACCTTCACAATGTCTGAGTCTGATGATCCTATGATAAGGATGTCATCCACATAAACCACCAATAGCAAATAATAGCCATCATGAATTTTGGTGAATCAACAGGGATCATTTTGGGACTGCAAGAAACCATATTCCTGTATCTTCTTGGTGAATTCTTCATTCCATTGTCTTGAAGCCTGCTTCAAACCATACAAAGATCGTTTTAACCTACAAACTTGATTTGATCTTGCTTTGTTATATCCATCAGGTGGCTTCATAAACACTTCTTCATCTAAATACCCATGCAAGAATGCATTATTTATGTCCAGTTGATGCAAGGACCATTTCTGAGCTGCTGCAAGTGCCAAGAGTAAACGTGCTGTAACCACCTTAGCCATAGGGGAATAACTATCAAAGAAGTCTTCTCCCGCCACCTGGTTGTTACCCTTTGCCACCAGCCTAGCTTTAAATCTTTCTATAGTGCCATCAGACTGTAATTTGACCTTGTACACCCACTTTTAGCCTATAGCTTCCTTACCAGGTGGTAACTCAGTTGATTCCCATGTTTGATTTGCTTCCAAAGCATCAATCTCAGTTTGCATTGCTTCCACCCAAACAGGTTGAGTCCTGGCTTGAGCATAACTACTTGGTTCCTGAATTTTATACACAGTGGTGAGAAATGATAAATGGCTATATGAGAATCTAGAAGGTATGTAAAAAGGATATGAAAGCAGTGCGGGGGGTGATGATTGTGGTAGATTGATAGAACTAAAACACAAAGTTGTTTGAGGTTTGTAACCATCTGTGTCTTTCAACCATTCAGGTGGTTTACTAAGTCTGGAACTTCTTCTTAAAGGTTGTGGAATGACAGGTTGCTCAGGAGAATCTGATGTGTGATCTGTATGATCACTATGAGAAGATGGAGTGTTCTGTCGGAATGGTGAAGGATTTTGGAAAGAAGTTTCTGATGGAGTAAAGACTGGCGAAGATTCATTTGGATCAGGAGTAGAGTCTGAATATGAAGTTGAGGATGGTGATTCCTCTTGTTTAAAAGGAAATATTGTCTCTTAAAATATCACTTCTCTAGATATAAAAATCTTTTTGACTGACAGATCATACAATTTGTATG